GAGATGGGGCTCTGGTGTGGCACACACACACACGCACACACACACACACTCACAGAGAAACAAATACTGACACACACACACACACCTCCCGTCCTCTCCCTCGCTGTCAACTGTAACACTGAAGCAACAGCGATCAAATCGAAAAGTATTACTGCAATCTAAGATAATAATCAACTGTTTTTAAAATTTCAAGAACTCAATTTGCAGTTTTCTTCTTTGATTTTTTGTCTTTAAAAAATCCAAGTTGATGTCTTCAAATAGCTTGTTTTGTTGAAACAATCCCAAATAAATGAAAATACAACGATACAAAGAGAAGACGAGCGTGTCCTCACATTTGAAAACTGAAATCAGAGCAAGTTTTATCAATTAATCTTCCGTTAATTGACTCATCTTCTGTTTTTTAATGTCACAGATTTAACACCAAGTCTGCTTATTAAACAAGCTTTTTCAAGTTTGAGTAAAACAGATTTTATATTCACAGATATCTGTTTATATAAAACATAAGATAAAAACATAGAGATAGATTTGGGTTATTCTTTAGAAAGAATAGTGAACGTGGGACAAACACTATTCATTCAGTCATCACACACAGAGACACTTACTAAAGTATTCTGGTATTAAAGGTAATAAATCCATCGACTAGGGTTCACAACATGTACGACACCTGGAAGAGAAAAACACATTTAGTCATTTATTTTCTGTGCATGTTTTGAGCAATAATCAAATGTATCCAGACTTTAACACTTGTAGTTGTTTTTGAAACTGAAAAAAGATCAAATCTAAACTTTTTAAAGCAGTTTGCGGTTGAAGTAGAAGTATTGGTAATGAGTTGTGTAATACGTTGTATGAATGTTGCTGATGCTGCAGGAATCAAACCCACAGAGAGACATGAAGTCTTGCATCGTTGGACCTTTTCATGACTCAATTATCAGAAGAGACATTTCTCTGAGTTTCACAAGTATTTGTGGTATTTTGTGTAACAGACGGTCAGGTTCAAATACAAAGCCACACAAACACCTGCTGACAATACAGACTGTGCCAGAGTGGCTTTGTTCAGGCTTTGTGTCGCTCTTCTTCTTTAGTAAAAGTCAAGCAGCTCTTAACGACCCGGTTACACTTCATTTACTTCACTGTACTTTACACTGCAGGTTAAAACACAATTAACTCACATTGAGGCAGTTATTTTTTGTATTACAAGTGTTCTTAAATGTTATGTTTAAATATGCAAATTAGGCATTATCTTATTAAATATGAGCTAATTTTCATGCATTTCCAGAACATAAATCTGAATGTTGGATAAAGCTCGGTTCAAAATTCTTGTTTTGTTTTGTTGACATATTAGAGTCGAAGGTTTTTACAGAAGGAATTTATTAAATGTCTTAGTATCACTCATAAATCAGAAAAGACCAATCAAAAAATATATTACCTCCATGTTTATATTAATAAATGTGTATAAATGAGTGTGTGAGTGATGTGTGAACTAACCCCTCTGTGTTAACCTTCAGCACACAGAGAGGAATGAACGAGTGAAGTTTGGTGAATGTAAGAGCTGCTGAAGTGGAGATTTATCATCAGAGTCTGAGAACAAACTCATTTAGAGGAAACGTCCTTTAAAGAGACGTTTAGTTCCATTACAGACATTTAGAGACTCTACAGGTGAACACATGAACTCACAGATATCACCATGAAACTTCACCACTTCATCACTCACATTAAGACGAGTATTTATTGTATTACAAGTTTTCTGAAATGTTATGTTTAAATATACAAATGAGGCATTATGTAATGGTAACTTTTGGTGATTTTAGTAGAAATCTACAGACACAAACAGACAAAGTAGTGAAATAAACAGCTGAATGTGTATTTTGGATGTTTTCTTTCCACTAGTGTGTGAGAACACGTGTTATAGAAGCAAAATAAACCAGCATCTCTACATTGATCAGTGCATGAAAAGAAGTGTCTCCGGTTCAAACACAAATTGACAGCAGAGTGTTTTTTTCCCGTCATACCTTTAGACCGGAGATGTCATACTTAAATACGGAAAGCAAATCCCTCTGCCATCATCGGTGCCATCACTTTGAGTGCGTTGAAACGTACGGCTGCAGCGACCCTCCCTCTGCCTCCCTGATCCCAAACCTGTCGCCTCTCCTGTCAGCCCGACGAACTGTGATTATAGATCTGTATCTCAAACTCATTCATGCACAAACGTCTCCAGTCGGTGCGTCAGTCTTTGTCCCGGTACCCGTGAACTTGCGCAAGGAAAAAAAGAAAGGTTCCTTCTTTTGTTGTGGTTAGTTTTTGGAGGCGGCTTGGAGTCGGAGATGGGGCTCGGTCACACGGAGCTGCCTCCCGTTTCCAGCCATGTCTGGACTGTCACATTGTGTGACCATGCATGAGTGAATCCACAGAGTCATCAGCCTGTCCGGTGTCACACCACGCCCCGTCAAACCGCCACAAAAAAAGAAAAAACTCTACTAAATGTGCGCAAAAAGTTGGCAGAAAATGTGCCCCAAAAAGAAATCCCCCCACCAAAAAATCTTTAGCGCAACGTGTCCAAAAACATGAACATCCTCTGAACGTCTCCAAAAAATATCACATGAAAAACCTCCATGAAATATTTACAATTTAACAATTTTAAAGTTAATAATATGACTTAAGAGATTCATTGGATTTTAGTATTTAATTATTTATTAATTGTACGTAAATGTTGCGGGAAAATGTGCCAATGTGATCAGAAGATCTCGTGTACACAATTAGAACGTTTTCAATGTCTTGATTTCTTGATTTGTTGTCGGTTCATTAGTTTGTTGTTGGAGCAGATAGAAGGTGACGTCATCAACATGTCTTCTGTCTGTGCGAGAGGTCAAAGGTCAAAGCAGAAACCTGTTCATTGATCTGCAGAGTTTCTCTGTGAAGATGCATAACTTGGTATATTTCTGGATGTCTGGTCTAAACTTTTCTCGCCCACTTAAAGACACTCTTCCGTCATCAGTTATGTCATTTAAATATATGACTCTTAACTTTCTAATCGTTTATTTTAAACAACACAGATGTGACTCATCCAGCTCGAGCTATTCCTGGAGGGGCCGCAGGACAAAGGACCCCCCCCCTCCGTTAAGAGGTGATTAGTGTGGGGTCTAAAATAAGGCTCGTGCTGAAAGCTGATAGGACCAGCTGGAGGTCAGCGCACTGAGACAACACAAGTCCAAATAAAGCACGAGGACCACCGGGTCTGGACTGAGCAGGACCGCTTCAGGACGGGGTTTTCATAAAGCAGGATTAAGAGTTTAATGTTGGCTTTACAATTCGACCAATAATAATATTAGTGATAAAAATGATTAAACATAATAACACTAAAACAATACGACTGCTGCTACTACTAATAATCAATTATTATTATTAATACAATAATAACAATTTAACAATGTTATAATTTTAAAATGTATTATTATTATTAATATAACAGTAATAATTATAATAATAATAATGATAATTATAATAATAATGACTAAATATATTAACAATTATAATACAAAAACAATAGTAGCCTACTACTGTTACTAATACATCATTATTATTATTAATAATACAAATTTAACAATGTTATAATTATTAAATGTATTATTATTATTGTTAATTTGACCCCAATATCCCTAAATATGGAGTGAAATATTAATTGATTGATTGACGAGTCTGGCAGATTTATTTTTATTTTTCTACTTTTCTGTAAAAAGCCTCTCGTGTCCTAAATGATTGTTTCTCCTCAAACATGCATCTGGTCCTCGTGCATAACTGTTATGACATAACTTCTAATGCTATTGTGATTATATCACATAAACTAACTTTGGGAAGTCTCTAGCAGAATAAAACATCTTGTCCAGACGTTCATCTTTGTTCATATGTTTTTATCAACAGGTGTGAAAATATGCAAAGCATTCTCATTTGACTCACAGAAACACTTCCAGTAACAAGTGACAGACATTCAGGTTTGATCAAACAGCATCAGACCCGTTAGATCTCTGTGTGGCAGGTAAGACTTCAGAATGAATCATCTCATGTTGTGCAACACACTTCTTGGTATTTATAAACCCACCAAAGTAAAAGCATTATTTATAGAAAACATATTCAACTATGAATGTTCAAACTTACACGCTACAGTCACTTGATTCAATACAGCAGGATCATAACAAACTCACTTGCGCTCATCAGTTATTGTAACAACACGTATTTAAAATGTCTCCTCTTGTAAACTAGACACTAAAAACACAATCATAGATCATAAAGGCACTTTTTTTTCTTTTTTGCTTCAATTCTCATGACTTCATTTGTTCTCCTTCCTCCTCTTCTTCATCATCACTAGATACATCCTTCAGATCCTGAGGAAGGCGTGTGTTCTCTCTGAGGTTCCACTTAGAACCACCAGATGTCAGTGTAGACTCGTTCTTCTCCGATTCAAAAACATTCAAGCAACTTCAGACTGAACAATAAGTTAAAACCCTCCATGAGACCATCCGCTGTGTGGAGAAGTGAGGTGACATTCTGATGCTGTGCATGAACCACAGGTGTGTACACATTGATTCTACCTGAAACAGGCTTTTGCTGGTGTGTTCAAACTCAGGGAAGAACCAGGATCAGCCAAAACACCTGCCCTCAAATATTAAATGTCTAGGGCTTTTATTGTGAAAGGTAGGATCAGAAGGAGTCTGTTCTGCCTTTGTCAAAGTTGAAAGGAGTAATAAAGTAGTCAGTCTTCATTCGGCGTGCATGTTGTTATTGACTATATATAAGAGCAACTCGACCCGTTCTTCACAGCGTGATTGGTTAATGTTTTCAAGCTCAGAAAAATTGAACTTAAAAGTAGTTAAGTTGCTTTTTCCGCCTTGTGACATTCAAGCTGTGAGGGAAAAATTACTCATGACAAAACAACAGTTTGAAAAAGTATGTTGTCTTGCAAATGAATCATAAGAGAAAAAAAAAAAGTCCCCCCAGGGTGTAAAAGCCTTTTCGGGGGAAGCACTGGACCGACGCTTTGTCACCGACCCTCGACGTCTGATACCGACGCACAAGTCGCCCTTTAGCGTCTGAATGAGACGCATCAAGCTTTTCAAGTAACTACAACGTGAATCCATCAGCATTATTATTAGACGCTCGGAGAGTGCGATGATGTGGTATTAAGAGTGAAAGACACAGGACTTTCAACCAGGAGACCGTTGTTCGCGTCCCAAATTTGAGTAGGTGATGTTTGTGGCGGGTTGTTTTCCGTACCTTACGTTTGTTTACGTGCTCATTGAAGCCCAACCATCATGTTTTTTTCCTGAACCTAACAAAGTGGTTTCATTGCCTAAATGGAATTAATTAATTATGTTTGAATAATGCCACTGGTCTACACAGGGCTTCAGAAAGTGACGGGGTCTCGCTGGGTTTGGACCATTTGATAGGCTAGTTATTATCTTCGAAATATTAGTGTTAAAATAATGAAAGTTTTACATTTTAAATTAGTTTTTCTTCATTTCATTTGGGACGCCCCGATGGATCAATGGATGGATGAATGGCTCCCTCAGTGTTTGCATACAATGCCTTTGCCTTGGGCCAGCTCACTCAACTTCCCATGAGTCAACTCTGAAACTTAACAAACAAACAAACTTGAACTTCTGGTGGATGTTTACATTTAGAGTCTGGGGGGCTGGAGTTACAGTCTGTGTTTCTCTTCTTCTCTGGTTAGCCCCCCCCCCCACTGCGGATGTCTGTCCTTCAACACTGCTTGCTGGTCGAATGTGAGTCGGTGGACAGCAGCAGCTCGTTCTTCACGTTCTGCAGATGGCTGTTGTCCTGCATCGAGCGTGCCCTCCTCATCTTGGACCTGGCCGAGCACCTCAGGAGCGCCTTGATGATGAGGTAGCACAGCTCGGCCACGTTCAGCACCATGCAGATGGTCGACGACGACACCATGAAGATGGTGAAGATGGTCTTCTCTGTGGGCCGGGAGATGAAGCAGTCCACCTTGTTGGGGCAGGGCCACTGCTCGCACTTCACCAGCCGCGGCATCTGGAAGCCGTCGTAGACGAAGTAGAGCGCGTACATGAAGCCGCCCTCGAAGATGAGGCGGAAGAAGAGGCTGCAGGTGTAGGTCCACCACAGCGGGCCCGTGATGGGCAGACGCCTCCTCTTCAGCGTCTCCAGGTCGATCGTCATCGTGGTCCTCTCGGTGCCGTTGGAGGCCAGCATGGTCCTCTTGTCCCCGCGGTTCCTGTAGGCCACGTGCATGGCCACCAGCAGGGCCGGCGTGGACACGAAGATCAGCTGCAGGCACCACAGGCGGATGTGCGACACGGGGAAGAAGTGGTCGTAGCAGACGTTTTTGCAGCCGGGCTGCTGCGTGTTGCAGGTGAAGTCGGACTGCTCGTCGCCCCAGACGCTCTCGGCGGCAAGAACCAGGATGGTGATGCGGAAGATGAAGAGGACGGACAGCCAGATCTTCCCGAGGCTGGTGGAGTGTTTGTTGACGCCGCCCAGCTGGGTGTAGAGCACCCCCCAACTCATTGTGGCCACGGAGGACGACCTGTAGAGGGAAAGAATTCAGCAGGAAATTAGCAGCATATATAGGAAAACCCCAAAGCTCAGAGAGTTGATGAAGCTCATGTGAGATCGGTACTGTGATACTCACCAGCTGATCACTTGGTATCGATTCATTTAAAAATGTATTACAATAAAATTAGTGGTTCCTGCTCCTAGAAGAGGTGGAGAGGCCTTTGACATGTCTGAACCCAGAGGCCCGTTGTCTCCATGAATACCACTTTAATAAGTGATCAGTATCGGTATCGTTGCAACTGTATCAGCATCATATAGAATTTAAATAAGTTAGTTTCCCCCGCCCTGATTGGAGCAACTCTTCTCTCTCTGTACCTGTTGTTACAGCTCCTCTCTTAGTATCTCCACTTTGGGTATTTTATGTTTTGATGGATGTACAGAGAGTGAAGTCACTTTTTGACAACAAGACATGAGATTTCAAATAAATTTCAAGATGAAAAACAGACTCAAAAAAGTCAAAAATTCACAGAGCAACCGGATTTATAAAGTCGATGAGACCGGAGTCTTATTTTGAAAAGCCAGATATCGAGACAAACAACATGGAGAAGTTAATATTTGTCTTTATATGAAGCACTTTCCTGCTGCTCTGGTTTTTAAACATTTGTGATTCAACATCACCACTACTAACATTGTGTGGTCATTAATAGCATACAAAGCACGTTGAGCGTGTAATGAGTTGTGATACTTTACTTTTCTACTGTTTGTACTTTAGTGATTCATTTGAAGAGATAAATGAAGATGACGTCCTCTCATCTGTATTCCTGCTATTAATAATATGAATATCGGTAATTATTTTAAAGATACAAACATTATGGAGGGAAATACTGTTTGGGCTTTTTTGTGTGATACAACTAGTGGATTTACCTTTAATGCGCGTTTAATATACATAATACATGTTAAATATGATTATCGATATTATAAGTAGCCTGTTGTTGTTGAACTCTTCTTTGGAATAAAACACATCTAAGCATTATAATAACTCACCTGTTTCTGTGAAGATTATATGTAAAAAAAAATCAGCCACGAGGAGAAAAACAATTAATCCCTTATTATGTAAAAACAGAATGAAGAGGTTTTGTCTCGTGCTCCGTCTTCCAGCTGACTGAGGTTCACCTGAGTCTCCAGCCGGTTTTCATGGCCCCTCCTGCGCTGACGGGGAGGAGCCGGAGCCGGGGCCGGGCTCAGGGTGAGGCCTGCTGGATCCTCCGGTCTTTGTGTTGACTACAATATTTCCCCCTGTGTAACTCTAAAGATGCATAAAATGTAAATAGTACAAGTAACTCCAAATAGTATTCAAATACTGTCCATGAGTAAACGCAATTACTTTCTACCAATGTTTATTTCTGACTTTGTTTTCTTCATTTTCATATTTTTCCAACTTAAATTAAAACCATGACTTGAGTTCAGTGGTGGAAGAAGTACTTTGATATTTTACTTCATTAAAAGTAGTAATACCACAGGGTGTGAGATACTTATTTTACTGCATTCTGGTGAATTTTTCTGCATCAATTTATGGTGGAAAACTTTATTTATGTTAAAGAAAAAACTAAATTCAGGCACCAGGTGACAAATCAAAAAGTATAACTTAAGACTCTTAAGCACACACCTGCTGATGAGTCACTCTTCCTCCTCTTTGTGTAACCTCTTTAAATGTGCACTCATGTTTAATTTGACCAAATGTGATTTGATTTCCTGATTTAAAAAGAGAAACACTTTAATAAGTCATAAATCTCACTATTGTGTATCTTATTGAACACACAAATGTAAACTTCATCAACCAGCAGTGTTATTGTGCCAGCGAGGCATAACTTTAATCCATAAGCGCCTTTAAAACGTAAAAGTTAAGCCAACTCAAACCTTTAAATCAAAAGCAGCTCGATATTTCATCAGTATGGAGGAGAGCGTTTGTGAAATTCACCTTCACGATCAATAAAGTTTTATTTAAATCAATAACACATCATTGTTTATGTGCTGCTTTTATTTTGTAGTATTGACGTGAATCTGCAAAGTAACTAAAGTTGCCATATAAATGTAATGGAGTAGAAGTTAAGTGTACTTAAGTAGTACTTCAGTAAAGGCACTGATTGAGTGTGATGCGAGTCATCCGCAGGTAGAATGGAACTACTTCTCAGTGAGGTAGAATAAGGAGGTGCACATGTTTAACCAGCTCCTGCTGCTGGTTTTCATGTGGGTAACAGAGTACTTCACTCCCTCCTCTTAACACTTGAATTATGACTCATAATTTCACTCCTTTGTGGATAAAAAAATCTTATTAAATATATCTATTGTCTATTGTCTGCATTACACAACAATATACTGTATTATTCACATATTTAATGTATTTTTAAGACACAATATTCATCTTAAGCAGATGTAAACATGTAATAAAGTACGTGTAGTTATAAAAACATTTACTTTACTTTACTTGAGTATTTCTATTTTCTGCTACTTTATAATTCAAACGTGATTCAGAGCTTTAATTTACCAGAAAGTAACTATATAAAAGTTACAATGTCTACCTGAGCATTAACACAATATTTAAGTAGACTTAAACACATTTTATCGTACCTTTAATTTGTATTTACATATAAAGTATAAAACCTACTGTATAAACAAAGATGTGTATATTTTTGTTTTGCTGGTGACTGGAGTCACGTCTGACGTGAGACGACATCACTGTGAAATGAAATCTGCAACATGAAAAGAGCAGAAACGTCACAGCGACAGTGAAGAATCACTTGTTCATTGTTTCCTGGGGTTCATTGAACTCACCAGTGACCCGTTAACCCGGAACAGAGACCGCTGAGATCACTCAGACATGTTTAATATTGGAACGCATCGTTTTATTAAATCAGATCAAACATGTTTTATTGAGAGAATATAAAAAGCACATAAACATAATGATTTAATTGTTTTTAATTCATCACATCTTCACAGAATTCATTTACGTTATGTTGTGTGTAGCACCTGAGATGATTCATTATAGCTGAATGTCAAAAAAAGGTATTAGTCTTTTTAATCAGTCAACAGATTTCACATCGTTGTTTTCATTCTTAATCAGCAGTTTCGTTCACTTGCAGGCTGATCTTAGTGCTCCTTCTTCAGCTTGGCCAGACCCATGAGGAGCTGGTTCCTCCTCTCCATCCGGGCCGACAGATGCTGCTGGTCGTTGGGGATCAGCTCGCACATCTCCTGTGGACAGCAGGGAGGGAAACGCATGTGAGGAAAAAGACACAATCTGACGGCCATATTGGAGCTCCTCAGGGACCAGGAACATGTAGACATGTATTTCTAACTGGAAACCTGATCCTGGGAAGAGATGTCCTCCGAGACCCTGGTTCTAAACGAGTAACAACCCGGAGTATTGATGAGGTCCAGAGTCAACGGTTCTGTTATCGGTACTTTCTTAGTTCTGGAGTGAGATGTCCTCGTCTCAGACGTCCTCTCTGAGGACATCACTGAGATCATTGATTAGCTGAGAATGTGTTTTAAAGATTTTAGAACTTCTTGTGTTGATGCTCAAGAAAGACAGTTTGTTTACATACAAGAATAATAAAGAAATGTGGATTCTTTCTCACAAATTAATCAAAAAGAACCGATAAGAGTATCGATAAAGAACCGAACCGATAAGTAGAGAACAGTACTAGTATCAGTAAAATCCTAACATTAGACTCACAAGTCAGTCTCTTCTTGCTTCGTTCAGCTACAGAATGAAGACAGTCTTCTGAATTCCACGGCTACAACTGGTTTGAAACCGTTTTAAAAAAACGTTGCAGAAACACACACACAGCTCTTGAACTGTTGTTGCTACAGCTGCTCTGCTAACACGCTAACCTAACATTCTGTTTGTCTCCGGGTCGACTGACTCTGGGTCTGCTGGAGCGAGCAACACATTGTTTAGAGCCACCGTTCAGACCTAAAAGGAGCTTTAAGCGTTTGATTCTGAAAACTTAAAAAACCCAAGAAGGCCTAAGTTAATGTGGTGGGAGTTTTGTACATTGGTACGTTAACTCACAGTAGAAATGTTGCTCTTGTGTGATTCTGTATAACTTTATTATTCCAAGAGAATATCCTTAGTGACAATACAAAGTAAACTCTTGTTTGTTTGTATTTAGCTCCCCATTAGATACAGTGTTGCAACAGTAGCGACTCTTCCTGGTTTGCGTTTATATTTCTAACAATACTTCAACAACAGAAAATATACAAAAACTCTTCCATGACATTAATAAATAACAATAAGAATTGTTATAACACAACTCAAAGCGTGTCTTTAGCTCTACATAATTGAGAGAAGAAACCACTTAGCGTCCACTAAATCACCAAAACCCTCTTTTGACTCAGAAGGTGTCGAGCTGTTGCTGTAAACCGGTTATTTATTGCAGGGGTTTGCTCAGATAGCGACATTGCGTGGCTAACATGTTAACAGCCTGTGATAGCATGTGACTGACTGAGCAGTGACTACTTAGGAAACAGCAATTTGGTGCCGGGGTGAGAAGGAACTCATGCAGAACTAAAGATGTTCAACAGAACATTCTCTTCATGTGACCGAATCAGGAAAATCAGGCGACTGTATGTGTTTCGATTAAAATGCCTTTGATCTGGATAAAAGTTTGCATTTTACAGTGAAAGCGTTCATACTTACATTCACGATGCTCTTGGCTCCCTCGCTGCCGGAGAAGTCTGGTACAGGCCCGAAGGAGGTCAGGATCCTCTGTATTCCCTCTCCGTAACGTTTCATATAGTCCTCCAAACCTGTGAGAGGACAGATGATCAGAGGAGGGGAGTCTTATGTCTTATGTCTTAGTAGAGATCATAGATAACAGCTTCAGTTCCCTCAGAATGGTCTGTCCTACAGCAAAGTAAAGAGGTTAAAATACTCTAAATATAGCGTTCACTTAAACTGATTTCGATTATTTTAGGTCCACAGCAGAACATCACTTTGCTCCATCTACTGTAGTAAAACACTGACTGTGGAGAAGAACCTCATGCAAACACACTGCAAAACATACAAAGTATTTTTCCAGTCAAAAAAAACGTAAAGTTATAATTGCATTCGAGGCACATTTCTTCTGTTACAGTAAAGATGTGGTTAATATTTCTTGCATCAACTTCTTTCTTCGGTTCAGACTTTGTCTTTTAAAGGTGTTAACTCAGAGAGAACCACTGAAACAAGATCATTGATCACGTTTCACGGTGCTGGGTGTCGCTGAGAGTGTGCGTTGGATTCCTGACTTTCTGTCTTAGTTTACCTTTCAGTGTGATTCCTTAAAGTTATTATCTCATCACTCTCATTGATTAAGCTTTAATGATTTCTTTGTGATGCAGGCAACAGGCACTGTAGCTGATGAATGATTCATGTGCTGCTCAAATAAAGTGTTAAAGATTAATACATTTTCACACTGTAAAAACTGTTGGAGCCTTGTATTTACTCATCTGTAAATATAAAATACATACAGTATATATATATATATATATATATATATATATATATATATATATACACACACACACACACATATATATACACACAAAATGCAACGTATAGTGCAAAACAGGATGGAACGCCAAGGGTGGCGTACCCTAGCAGAACAATAGTTTTAGGGGCGCCACATTTCTAGCGATGCGTCTGATCATCAACAGCTAACTGAGCTAATAACAAGTGTTGTGAAATACACTTAGAATGCAGTTGGAGAGCGGAGAAGCGAATCGAAAAGTTTCTTTCTGACATTTTGATGCCGTGAAACTGGATCACCATTTGAACCAGAGCTGATAAAACGTATAAAGAGCAAAACCACAAACATCTTAGAGCCTCTTTCGAGACAACAGCTAGGATAGCGCTCTCCTGTGCAGGTACATGCTTTTACAAAAGCTGAGTCATTCAGACAGAGACAGAGAGCCTGAGTGCTTCGGTATCTGATTGGAATGATTTAAGGCCGGGAAGTGTAGGTCTTAGCAATCTTTTGTGAACATGATCATACTACTGTTTCCTGAGCAGAAAAAAGAGCTCAGTAGAAAGCTTCGCGACTGTAACTACAGGTAGAGTTGGCAGCTGGTTTGAAGGCCGCGATGTGGGCTCTGTGAGTTTTAGATTACTGGTGTGAGGGAGTGCATTCATCGCGACCCATCAAAAGACTGCTTTGTTCTGCCTGTGTGTGTGTCTGTGTGTGTCTGTGTGTGTGTGTACACAGTCAGGGTTTCTCTTTGGGTTTCACACTCCCCTTTGATATTCCCCATCTCCCTGAGGGTTCACGCTCATTCTCTCTGTCTGAAACACGGTGTGTTACAGTACATGTATGTTGGGGCCTGAGACGTGTCTGCTCGGTCACTGTTCACTCACATTTTCATTTATCTAACTAAAGAGCCTGGTGTTCTTCCTAAATTATCTTTTTGTGAATTACTGGAGGTTTTTGCGCTAACGACGAGGTATATTTTAACTCAAGTTCTTGTTTTTTTCCCCACACTGTAAATCCCATCCCTCACAGAATTTGTAGGTTTTCCTGGTGTGCTGGATGTAGACTGTATATAAGAAGTAGACGCAGTCATCGTGACATCACTCGTTGGTTTGTGGATTGATATTATGAAGCCTCGAGTTCACAGATTTTGCCTTCGCCATCTTGGAATACGGTCAACTTTTATTCTTTAATTCATTTCTGTTCAAAACAAACGCTTCAAGAGGCATGTTATTTTTTGGCGCTGAGTTTCTGTTTACGTGAACAAAAAGTCAAAAGAGGGAACAGTACCTGCTGGTGCATTGAGGTGCATCGTTTCCATGGGACCTATGAAGGCGTAACGCATTCCTAGCCCCTCTGACATCACCAGGTCGATGTCCTTGACAGAGATAACGCCATCCTGGTGGAGTGAGAGAGAGAAATACACTTTATTGACACGAATCTCCCTTTGTATTCCTCTCCAAAAAGGTACAAATCAGTAAATGTGTGACTAGATAAGAAGACAAATACTTTCTTTATCTATCAGTACAGTGTGAACAGGCCAACCCTGAGCCGTCTCTCTCAGTGTTTTCCACTCAGTTCCCTCTGCTCCTGGTTTGAGCTGCAGCTCAAAATGTAGTCTCAGAATGTCAGACTATATTTTCCCTGACAGTTCAGGTGAGGGCTTTTGGACCAACCCCCAAATTACCTTTGATCCCATCAAACTACTCCAACCATATAAAGTTTCCCTAATCACCCAATTCTGTGTCCTCAGGATTATGTAGGAAGTACCGGGAGGAGAGTGGCTGAGGATGGAAGGGATGGAAGGGAGGAGGGAGGGAGAGACCGAGGGAGTGGTTCAAGGTAATCTTTGAGTTAGAGATACCTGTTGGCCGACCACGGAAGGGAAATCAAAGCTCGGATACGGAGACAGAGAGTAGGGTGAGCAAGAGGAGAGGGACAGTGTCGCCTTTGTTTGGGTCCTGCGTCCAACAACGGGTCTGTTATCTGAGCAAAGCGGGGCGGTGGGTGGGGTCTTTTCTCCACGGTAATCACTGGGGGGCAACCAGCCGCTTTCTCAGCCGCTCTGCTTTCCAACGCTGGCCCTGACTCAAGGACTATTTTCTGTGTGTGTGTGTTTAGAGGGGTGATGGAGGGTCCCTGTTATGTAAGAAGGCCACTCTCGGTCCACAGGCCTTGATGCTCAATGCCGAACTTCTGGTCCTATTTTGATGTTGTTTTTTTTTTTTTTTTAAATTAAAGTTCATACTAGTTACCTCTGCCAAGGAAGATATATTAAATTGTCGGTTAGGTTTGTCAGCAGGATTACGGAAGAACTACTGGACTAATATTAATGAAACTTGGTGGACGGGTGTAGCATGGGCTAAGAGTGACCCCGGTGCAGGCTGGAGTGGATCTGAATCACAGGGCAGATACACAAATTATTTTCCACAAGCCCGCCCTAAAGCATGCCCTGCTTTATGGTCTGTGTGACTCTAAATGGACCATAATGTACTAAATGAACATCATGCTGTATTGAAGAAGACTTGAAACTAGAGATTGAGACCATAAACTCATGTTTACAATGTTTACTGAGGTAATAAATCAAGAGAGAAGTAGAGAAACCTTGTTTAGATGTTTTTATTATCTTTGCCGGGATAATCATACAATCGTTCACCAGGTTTGCGTGAGTCCGTGAGTGAGTGAGTGTGCATCTCTGTGTCTGTGTCTGTCTTTGTTGTAATCTTTAATGAAACTCTGGCAGAATAGTTTCCTTCTTAGAGATTAATAAAGTTTTATCTTATCTTATTTTACCTCCGCTGCCGCAATTTCTAACCTTCCTGGTCAATCAAGACCAAATTAATTGGTACAAGAATCTGGTCCAACTTATTCTGAGAGTTTACTTTCTCCTCCATTTACAGTGTAAATCACTTTAAGCCACGTGGCCGGACAGTTGTGTGAAGCTCAGGTGAGCTGGTTCATCCACTTCACTCTTGAGCTGTGTTTCAGCTCAAGAGTTTCATGTCAACAAAACATTCACAGCTCATTTCTATCTCCAGTGTTTACACCAATTAACAGAAGAAACAGCCTTCCTCCGAGACACATTCAGGTTGAATAACGCCTCAGGCATTCATCCTGACTTAATTAGAGCCGGGTCCACATACTGAGCTACCGACAACTGATGGCGACTAAAGTTCAGGATTTACCTGCAGATCAACTGTCACAAAGATAGAAGGATCATTCCTGTCAGACAGGTTTGTTTAACTCTTTGCCACGGTGTTAACAATGCTCGGAATTTGCTGTGAAAGCCTCGAGCTATTAGATTGTATACGTAATTTAACTGAGCATGTAGTCGAGGTACAGAAACCAGAAGCACGGCCACTGGTTCTCAGTAAGAAGCCAGCAGGTTGCCCGATTTGGTTACGGCCTTAGATTTAGAAACCAGTTTAGTAATTTGTACATACACAAGGTTTGAATGAAATGCATACAGATAATATAACAAGTCCAAATGTATGCTATAAATTACATCTGTTTCATTCTATACTATGTCAAAATATCTCTAAAGGTCTATTCAGCCGCGGTCATTTGGATCATTTATTTATTTTGCAAGGGTGTCCAAAATCTAGCAACCATATCTGGCTCCATCGTGGAAGTGAAATCGAAAATTAAATGTATGAAACTGATGTCAAAATTTAACAACTGGGGTGGAAATATAAATATGCATTACATTTAAAGTTAACAGTAAAAGAATGACTTGATTTTGCATCTCTCACGATGTATGGACACAGAAATTTAAATAATCGAGGGAAAGGACAACAAAGCTGGTCAGCTAAACTTGAATAGACAGGACTGTTGTGTACACAGGGAGTGAGAAGTAGGAGTAAATATGGTAATACAAATCAAACGTGTGTTCCACTATTCAAACATCAAGTAGTAAAAACATAAAGCTTGTTTGAGAGGATGGTTGCTTGTTTGGTGGATGCTGAATGGAGGATTTTTTAAATACTTTTTTATAAAAAGTCTTGGATGTCGTTGAGCTCTTTATTTAAAACATGAAAAGAACCATTTCTACTGTACTATTCTACATACGATGTCAAGTTGTATGTTGAGAGACACACTTAGCTGAGTACACACTCACAGTTGCCAAAGTTTGAAATGAAAAACAATGCTCTCTGTTGCACTAAGCCTGGAGCTCCTTCCAGAGAAAAGTCTCGACACTAACAGCAACGTGGCATTTTAGTCAGCTGGGACCTAAGGGTGCATCCTCAGGGTTAATTCTGCTCAACAAGGAGCCTCACAAGGGAGTGACCCATGCACAGTATACGAGTCTGAGCTTCCACAGGTCTGTGTGAAGACACAAATATATCTAAGTGGATGCATGGATGCAGTCAGGAGGAAGAGGGACACAGTAATCTCTGCTTCAGTTCCTCGATGTATGCTATGATTCTCAGAAGCTGAAAGCCAGTTAGATGTCATCCCCAGCGTGGGTGGATTAATAAACGGGCCTCCCTCCTCTCCCCTGCAAAATGTCACTCAAAGAGACACATACCAAGCAGAAAAAGGCTCAAAATGACCACAAAGAAACATTAAACAACTACAAATAGATGCAAAACATCTGCAACAGATGCAAAGAGACAACACAGAGACTCACAGGGACTGTGAAAAGGGACAAAACAACCACAAAATAACTACAAAGAGAAAAAAAAGCAACTACTAAGACACACAAAAAGACACAAAATTACTATAAAGAGACAAAACAACTACAAAGAGACACAAAATTATCACAAAGAGACAAAAGGCTACTACAAAGAAATAAAAGTAACTACAAAAAGACACGGGGGGGCAAAACTACAGACATAAATAACTACAATAAGACCAAAACAAGTACACAATTACTAAAACAATCACAAAGTGACTCAATATAATTACAAAGACACAAATAACGACTACAAAGAGACAAAAAGCAACTACAGAGACACTCAAAATGGCTACAAAGACAGAAAACAACTACAAAGACACAAAATTACTAAAAAATAGACAAAAAGCAACTACAAAGAAAGAAAGAAAGAAAGAAAGAAAGAAAGAAAGAAAAAGGCCTTTCGCATGTCTGTGCCAAGGGAACTTCCTCAGTGACTGCTGTTGCATTGACTGGACTAACGAGAGCTTTCACCTGACTGAAGGCTCACTCGGCTCATCAGTGAACCAGGAAGCTCCTCTCGAAACAAAGAGATCATTCAAGGAAAGACGGAACAAATTCCAAAAATCTTTAATAAAGAGTCCACACTGTGACAAAGCCAGGACCTTTTGTTGCAAGTCATCCCTCCCACGCTTTCTTCTGATAATACCGGTTGATCTCTTCTTGTGAGCGTCTAATCAATTTAACCAAAGAAAATCTAATAAAAGTAAATTTTTTAGTAAGAATTGTTATATAAAGACCATTTCACAGCAGACAATTTGACTTGTCAAAGGAAAAGCACAGGTGTAAACTCATAACGTTGACAATGGTTCCATCCATTAATTATCCCACCATAAGCCGTGTCAGTGAGTGAGCACGCACAATACCAAGTGGAATGTAGCCATCATTGATGTTATTGCTTTAACAAGTCAAAATGTCCCTCGTCAAAAGGGCTGACAGATAAAAATATTCATTAAAGCTAAAATTAAAAATAAAAGGTTAAAATTGCAGGTGAACTCTATCCGCAACTCGTGAAATATCGTCTTCAAAACAAGCCTTCTTCTAAAGTCGTGTTCTAAAAAACTCTACCTTAAATACATCAAGGCAGAGTACGCGTTAACTGGTTCTAAAACTTGTATTTAAAAATACAAAAGAAGGAAATTAAACTGTTTTTACACACATCATCAGTGACTCAATGCTGAAGACTGTTGTGGCCTTTGTTTATATTACGTATGAGAAAGAAACAAGAGCAGCGGCGTCATCCAACTTCATTGTTGTGAAATTATGCAAATCAATGAGCAAATTTCCATGCAAGCATAAATGCATGTGGTGGACGAACCTCACTGGAAGTGTACGGTAGAAGAAGTCCATTCGTCCTTCTTTGGTACGGCAGAAAATCCTTTCTAGAGTGTAAAGAATCCTTTGAATATAGAACTCACATGAGTAACTTAGGTTTATTTTTCCTTTTTTCAATGTGTGTGTCGGTGTGTCTTTACAGATGTTTTCACATCTACACGTACAAGTTTCTCTGTCAGTGTAGTGACCCATATATAAAAAAGGTACATAGTAATGTTATGTTCCATCCATATATACAGTAGTATTTGTTTATTTTTATTCAAAAATGTAATCTGTTTTTTTTTATGCATTTGTTGTGATATATATATATAGATATATCTCTAGATATATAGATAGAGATAGATATATCTCTAGATATATAGATAGAGATAGATAGATATATCTCTAGA